TGTAATTTTCAGGGTTAAGGTCTTACACGTGTTTTGTCAGATTTATTTGGTATTTAGTTTTTTTAATGCTATAGTAAGTGATTTTTTTAATTGCAATTTCTTATTGCTTGTGGCTATACAGCTGACTCTTTTGTATATTGATTTTGTATCCTGAAGTGTTGCTAAATTCATTTATTCGTTCCAATGGCTCTTTTGTAGATTCCTTGGATTGCCTATAGGTAGTCTTGTTTTCTCTGAATTAAGTCAATTTTCTTTCCAATTTGGGTGCCTTTTATATCTTCTTGTCAGATTGTACTGGATAGAACCTCTAGTACAATGTTGATTTAAGTATGATATTAGCTATGGGTAATTATAGATGTTCTTTATCAGGTTTAGGAATTTCCTTCTATTCCTGTTTGATGAGAGTTTTTATTATGAATGAATGATGGCATCAGTGTGTTCCGGCTGCTGTAACTCAATACCATATACTATGTGGTTTATACATAAGAGAAATTTATTTCTCACAGTTTTGGAGGCTGAGAAGTCCAAGACTAAGGGTGCCAGCAGGTTCGGTATCTGGTAAAAGCCTACTTCCTACTGCTTCCTGTGTTTTCACTTGGTAGAAGGGGTAAACTAGCTCTTTGGGGGGTCTGTTTTATTAGGGCACTAATTCTAATCCTGAGGGTTCCACCTCCTCAATTCTCAAAATCCCACCTTCTAATACTGTCACCTTGAGGGTTAGGATTCCAGATGTGCATTTTGGAAGGACATTCAGTCCTTTGCAGTTGGATTTTGTTGTTCTTTTTCTGCATCTATTCATTTTTAGTTCTTAATACAGTGACTTACATTGTTTTGGTTTTTTAAAATAGTAAACCAGCCTTGTATTCCTCAGATAAAAACCCTAGTTTGGTTGATGTATTTTCCTTTTATTTAATTGTGGGATTTGATTAGTGTAAATTTTGTTTAGAATTTTTGCATCTTTGTGCATTAGGGATATAGACTGTTGTTTTCTTTTCTTGAAATATCTTTATCTGGCTTTGGTATCAGAGTAATCCTGGCCTAAAACACCTAAAGGTGTTTTAAATTGTATCTTCAGTTTCCTGGATAAAGTTGTATAGAATTGGTATTGTTTCTTCTATAGATGTTTGATAGAATTCACCAGTAAAGCCCACTGAGCCCAGAGAGATAATTTCTGCTCCACTGTGCAGATTGGACCCTGCACTCCAAGCAGGTTACATGGTGCTGTAATAAAAGCTGCTCATTTAATGAGAGCTCTGTTGCTTGACATGGGAGATTGGGGCCAGTGGTTCTAAAGGAGATAGAGTCGCAAGAAATTCAGGATGGAATTCGGAGTTTGGAGAGTTAAGATGATATTCCAGAAGAAGACGACTTAATTATATTTGAATAAATGTAGATTGTTGTACCGTACTTATAAAAAATAACACATCCCCTGAAAATAAGCCCTAGGGTGTCTTCTTGAGGAAAAATAAATAGAAGACCCTGTCATGTTTTCGGGGAAACATGGTAGTATGGACTTTAGGCTCTTTTTTTAGGTTAAAGGAAGGGAGAAGAGGATGAGGGTTGCAATAGGTAACCAAGGATTGCAGACACCTGAGTGTCATTGAGGGTCTGAGGAGGTTGTAAAACTTTTGTTCTTGGTCAGTTAACTTTCCAGGGCATAGATAAAGTCACAATGTTCCTATAAATCTTTAACATGTAATTGATACTTGTATGTATATGTTCCTTATCTCTCTGGGAGTTAATTTTGGGAAAGGGATGGCTATCATCTTTTTTCTGAAGTTGAACTGCAAACTGTTATTGGTAATAAATTCTTCTGTAATTAGCTGCCTTACATGCAGAGCTAAGTAGAATCTTTTTTTCTCATGGTTATTATTACAGGAGGTCAGAAGCAAAATGGAGCTAGTTATGTTAAATCTCCTTTGCACTGTTACTTGATTAGTAAATGTGAAATTTCACTCATAAACTGGGCAGTGTTTACTGAAACCACAGCAAAATGTCATCTTATACCCATTAGATTGACAAAAATTAAGTAAAAATACAAATGTTTACAAGGAAACTTATTGCTGATAGAAGCATAAATCTGTTGAACTACTTTTGAGAGCAGTTCGCTCATATCTGCTAAATTTTTTGATATACTTCAACTAGTAATTCCAGTCCTAGAGGAACTTCAATATGTGTACAAGGAACTGTTTTTGAGGGTCTTCACTCTGTTAGGGCAGGAATTCGTACGCAGATGGAGAATAATTCTCGAAACAAAGATTAGAGTAGAAAGAAGTAAAAGTTTATTTTACTTTTTTTGAGAGAGAGAGAGAGAAGAGAAAGGGTATGGCACCTGAAAGAAAGAGGAAAGTGCCAGCGTGGAGATCAAGTGGCTTGGAGTTGTTATTGGGGGGTTGTAAAGAGGTAAAGAAAATTTGCTGTGGACAAATTAATTAGCAGGAGGCAGCTGTAAGATGTCAGAGTGTCCATTTCTCCTGTTTTTTTTTTCTTTTTTTCCTCCTGTTCCTGGAGTCTTGATTATCAGTGGTTCTAGCAGAACTGGTCTGGCAAATGTAAAGGGGCAGGATTTATACTTTCTTTTTGTCCACTCAGCTCTTTTAAAATGCTGTAAAAACATGTTCATAGATGATTAGTTAATTTTAAAAGACAAGTGATTGATCTCAAGCACAGTGGGTTTAAGGTTAATGTCCCTGTGGTCAGTCTTAGAGACAGCCAGTTTATATTTTTCTGTTAGTTTGTTAGTAACATCATCCTTTCACTCTAGAGTTATTTTTATAGTGAAGACTAGGAAGCAACCTAAATGTCCATTGATAAAAAGATAAATAAATTGTGTGATAGTCATACAAAGGTATTTTTAAAACTGTTGAAATAGGCCAGGCGCGGTGGCTCACACCTGTAATCCTAGCACTCTGGGAGGCCGAGGCGGGCGGATTACTCGAGGTCAGGAGTTTGAAACCACCCTGAGCAAGAGGGAGACCCTGTCTCTACTATAAATAGAAGGAAATTAATTGGCCAACTAATATATATCTATATCTATAGATACAGATATAGAAAAATTAACCAGGCATCGTGGCACATGCCTGTAGTCCCAGTTACTTGGAAGGCTGAGGCAGGAGGATTGCTTGAGCCCAGGAGTTTGAGGTTGCTGTGAGCTAGGCTGACGCCACAGCACTCACTCTAGCCTGGGCAACAAAGTGAGACTCTGTCTCAAAAAAAAAAAAGAAAACAAAACAAAAACATATAAACTCAACTTTTTTTGTTTGTTTTTTACGACAGAGTCTTGCACTGTTGCTTGGGCTAGAGTGCCTTGGTGTCAGCCTACCTCACAGCAATCTCAAACTCTTGGGCTCAAACAATCTTCCTGCCTCAGCCTCCGAAGTTGCTGGGACTACAGGCATGCACTAGCATGCCTGGTTAATTTTTTCTATATACATATTATTTTACTTGTCCAGCTAATTTCTTTCTGTTCTTTAGTAGAGACAGGGTCTCACTCTTGCTCCAGTTGGTCTCGAACTCCTGATCTTGAGTGATCCACCCACCTCGGCCTCCCAGAGTACTAGGATTATAGGCGTGAGCCCCTGCGCCTGGCCTGTAGTAGGTTTTATAAGTATCATTCATAGGGCATTTGGTAGGATATTAGTTTGCTAGGGCTGCCATAACAAAATATGGGATGCTTAAACAACAGAAATTTACTTTCTCATAGTGCTAGGAGCTTGAGGTTTGAGATCCAGGTGTTGTCAGGTTTGGTTCTCTTGAGGTCTTTCTCCTTGGCTTTCTCACTGTGTCCTCACATGGGCTCTTCTATATGACTGCCCACTTCTCATGTCTCTTCTTATAAGAACACCGGTCATGTTGAATTTAGACCCCACCCTAATGACTTCATTTTAACTTAATCACCTTTTTAAAGGTTATCTGTAAATGTGGTTCTGAGGTACTGGCGGTTGGGCCTGCCACATATAAATTTAGGTGGTGGTGGGGAACATAATTCAGCCCAACACAGATGTTTACAAAGCTGTTTCACATACAGCTTCATCATCCTTAAAACAAACTCAGTGAAGCAAGCAGTGGTGGATTTATTATTCTAGTTTTACACATAAACAGAGTTATGTAATTAGTGGTGGAATTAGAACTTCAAACTAATTTTCTTGAATACAAAATCAGTAGTCTTTTTTTTTTTTTGAGACTGAGTCTTGCTTTGTTGCCCAGGCTAGAGTGAGTACCGTGGTGTCAGCCTAGCTCACAGCAACCTCAAACTCCAGGGCTCAAGCGATCCTCCTGCCTCAGCCTCCCGAGTAGCTGGGACTATAGGCATGCGCCACCATGCCCCGCTAAGTTTTTCTATATATATTAGTTGGCCAATTAGTTTCTTTCTATTTATAGTAGAGACAGGTCTCGCTCTTGCTCAGGCTGGTTTCGAACTCCTGACCTTGAGCAATCCGCCTGCCTCGGCCTCCCAGAGAGCTACGATTACAGGCGTGAGCCACCACGCCCGGCCTCAGTAGTCTTTTTAACTACTACTGAAGTTAGGTTTCTCATTTTTTCTCTTTGGCATAACTTAAGTAGTGTTTCACAAATTGATATAGGATAAAATTTGGTGTGTGTGTTATATCTTAACATTTTTGTTACCTGGAATGCCATCTGAGAAATTCTTGTTTTTAAAGGCATTCAACATACAGGATTTGTCCTTTAACATAAGAGCTTCACTGTATCAGTTTAAAAATATGTCTGTAGTTGCTTAAAATTTGACTTATCCTAAAATGTGAGGAGAGAAAATTGCATTAAAATCAAGTACTCTTTTTCAATGACTCTACTGTTAGAATGGAAATAAATAAATCTAGATCCTTTATAGATTATTAATTTTCTTTGAAAGAGTCATTTTATTTTTATTTATTTTTTCAGTTTATGATCAGAATAATTGTAATTTCCTTCCTTATGAAGAATTGTGAGATGCCAGTAAATAGTAATTTTATTTATTCAGTTAATTTTTTTTCCTTACACAGTTGCGGTCTTGTAGTAAGAGTGAGTTGATATCTAAGAGCTCAGAGATCCTCATGATGTTTCAGCAAGTTCATCGAAAGCCCATGGCATCCTTTGTTACCACTCCTGTTCCACCAGACTTTACCAGGTACAACACAGTTTTTAAATTTCATTTTTATTTGAAGTTTATGTGCCAGTGCATATACTAGTTTTAACAGAATTTTTTTTTAATTCCATCTCTTTTTAAGGTGCTGTTTGTAATGATGTGGTCTGGTGAGCTCTATTTTATACATGTAAGACTAGTCCCCCCAAAAGTCTGGTGGACTTACTCACTTGAATATATAGAGAGAATGTTTGTGAATTAGGAATTATTATTTTTTTTTTCATTTGCATTTTGGGCTTAGTATTCTTCTGAACAGCATCTTCTTTCAAGCATAATTGAATTATACTATGCTGTTAGATAAGTGCAACGCTTAACTCTGACTGTATATTAGACTTATTTGAGATTCTGTTGAAAATTATCAATGCTGGGCCGTGCCAAACCTAGGCAATTTGAAATGAAATCTCTATGGGTATATTAGTCTGTTTGGGCTGCCATAACAAAATACTACATCCTGGGTGGCTTAAACAACAGGAATTAATTTTCTTATGGTTATGGAGGCGAGAAGTCCAGGATCAAGGTACCAAAAAATTCCATTTCTGATGAGGCCTCTCAGCTTGCAGATAGCTGCCTTCTTACTGTGTCTTCACATGATCTCTTCTTTGTTAGTGCCTGGAGAGAGATCAGTCTATGGTGTCTCTTCCTCTTCTTATATCATCTTTATTGGATTAGAGTTCCCGCCTTTTGATGTCATTTAACCTTAATTACCTTCCTAAAGGACCTATCTACAAATATGGTCATGTTCGGGGTTAGGGATATAACATAAGAATTTTGAGAGATACAATTCAGTCCATGATATTGGGTACAGATGGGCATTTTCAGTTTGTTCTTATTTTTTTTTTTAATTTTGGCATATTATGGGGGTACAGATTCAGTTTGTTCTTTTTATATCTCCTTCACTTATTCCTAGGATGAGGGGTGAAGCCACTGCTTCAGATATATATTTTGGTATGACAGACTTAATGTATCTTATATTTTAGATATGGCTTATGAAATGCTATCAAGTTTTTCTAGCATGTCGAAGGCTGCGATACATCTAGAAAACAGCCTTTCTTATAAAAATGTTTATGTATTGAGCTGCCTTTTTTCTTTTTTTTCTAATATATGATGCCCTCTTATGGCCATGGGGCATTCATTGTATTAGAGTGTATGGTGGAAGCCAGGGTTTCTTTGGCATTGTTGTCATTTTGAGCTGGATAATTATTTGTGGGGTGGGGGGAGCATCCACTGCCCCCCTTGTGACAAAAGTGGTCCCAGACATTACTAAATATCCCCTGGGTACAAACCCCTGGTTGAGAATCATTGGTGTAAGCTCTCATTCCTCATCACACATGCATTTCTGAGCATCATGACTACCCACAGTCCTATTCATAGAAGGGCAGAATTTTTGTGACAGCCAGAACTTAGGTGGCACTGACCAGCAGGAGGAGTCTTCATTTCTTTCTTAATTAACAAAAAATTTTTGTTTTTTTGAGATAGAGGCTCACTCTGTTGTCCGAGCTAGAGGGCCGTGGCATCAGCCTAGCTCACAGCAACCTTAAACTCCTCGGCTCAAGCAATCCTCCTGCCTCAGCCTCCCGAGTAGCTGGGACTACAGGCATGCGCCACCATGCCCGGCTAATTTTTTCTCAATATATTTTTAGTTTGCCAATTAATTTCTTTCTATTTTTAGTAGAGGTGTGGTCTCACTTTTTCTCAGGCTGGTTTCGAACTCTTGACCTTGAGCAATACGCCCGCCTTGGCCTCCCAGAGTGCTAGGATTACAGCCGTGAGCCACCACACCCGCCTTTAATCAACAAGTTTGATACAATATTCATGTCTCATTAAAGCACTGAATATTATTAAACAGACTAGGTATTTGTTATTGAGTTGATTTGGTTGAAGAAAGAATGTTCACCAGTATCCCAAGGATGCCTCTTTGATAATGTGGTCAGCTATTTTAGTTTTGAACATATCTTTTCTCAACAATTCCATCATTCATGTTATATGGAATGAAACATAGATTTGGATGTATGTAACATATATAAACCATAGTGCTTTTCATTTTTTTCCCTTAAAATTCCCGTAACAAATTAGTGTTTTTGAATTTAAAGTGTGGCTCATGGATCACTTACATCAGAGCCACCAGGGTATTTGTCCAAAATGCATATTCCTAAGCCTGCTTCCCCAGACTCTTTAAAGGTGTTATCCAGGAAATGCATCTTGGGCATCCTAAGTAATACAACACTAAAGTTTGGGAGCCATTGATTTATGTAAATTGCCATCTTTATACCACTTTCAGGAGCTCATCAGGCAGGCAACAATGCCTATCAGTCTGATAATTAAGCATCCTTTTATGGGTAAAGATCATCTTGGGCCCCCTCCTCTCTCTAGTAATGTTCACTAACTTATTGGAAATTTTGGCTTTTAACTTAACTCTAATTCTTTCTTTCTTTCTTTCTTTCTTTCTTTCTTTCTTTCTTTCTTTCTTTCTTTCTTTCTTTCTTTTTTTTTTTTTTTTTTTTTTTTTTTTGAGACAGTCTCTCTCCCTTCCCCTCCCCGAGGACAATTAGTGTACAGGGGTGTCATCATAGCTCACTGCAACCTCAAATCCCTGGGCTCAAGCGATACTCCTGCCTCAGGCTCCTGAGGAGCCGGCACTACACATGCGTGCCATGACACCCAGGTAATTTTTCTATTTTTTTGTAGAGACAAGGTCTGATTCTTGCTCAGGCTGGTCTCAAACTCCTGGCCTCAAGCGATCCTCGTGCCTTCTCAAAGTGCTGGGAATACAGGTGTGAGCCCCTCAATCCTGCCTTAACTCTAATTCTTATAGAAACTCAGTTTATTCGTTAACATACAGGAAACAGCATACTTCTTCCTGTATGGTAGCAACTTTACTGATGCATTTGGATCAGCAAAGAAAAGAGGGCTAAATAAGAAAGACCAGCATTCATTAACATTAAGTTACCAATGTTTAGAAGTACAAAGCAAGGTGTGCAAAGCAAGATGTTTCTATTATCTTTAGTTTCATTAGTTAGTGACTGGTGTTGGAACCACAATGGATGAAAAAAAGTCATTAAATCAATGAAGTATTATTTATTAACGACTATATCTCCCAGCACTGTTGTAGGTCCTGCATAGGAAACACAGAAGAGGAACTAAAAATCTTGTTGGGTAAATATTCCACATTAAATAGTAAAGAATTCTTTTTTATTTCAGCTTATTATGGGGGTACAAATGTTTAGGTTATGTGTGTTGCCTCCCCCCCCAGAGAATTCTTTATTAAAATGTAATATTTCTTATTCAGTTATATATCATTTTATATCAGATGTTCTGAAAAGAGTTCAGAACAGAGACTGGCATAGTCAAGAAGACTTTCTGACCTAGAAAGTAATTGAGACCAGGTGCAGTGGCTCATACCTGTAATCCCAGCATTCTTAGAGGTCAGGGTGAAGGATTACTTGAAGTGAGGAGTTGGAGACCAACCTGAGAAACATAGGGAGACCGTCTTTACAAAAAATAGAAAAATTAGCTGGCATGGGGGCGCATGCCTGTGTACGCAGCAACTCAGGAGGCTTAGGCCAGGGGATTGCTTGAGCCCATGTGTTTGAGGTTGCGATGAGCTATGATAGTGCCACTACACTCTAGTCTGCGTGACAGAGCAAGATTCTGTCTCAAAGAAAGAAAAAAGAAAGGAAGTTAACGCTCAGTCCATAGGGAGTTTCTGGGAGAAATCATCAACTGGGGCTGGACGTGGTGGCTCACACCTATAATCCTAGCACTTTGGGAACCCAAAGTAGGAGGATCACTTGAGGTTAAGACTTCAGACCAGCCTGGGCAACATAGCAAGACCCCATCTCTAAAAAAAAATTTAAAAATTACCCAAGTGTGGTGGTGCACGCCTGTATTCCCAGGTACTTGGGACGGTGAGGCTGCAGTGAGCTTATGCCACTGTACTTCAACCTAGGCAGCAGAGTGAGACTCTTTCTCTTAAATTTTTAAAAAGAAATGGTCAAGTTGGGAAGGAGAACCAGTTTTTATGTAGCTCACCAGTCTACTTCCTGAAGGAATAAATGGATACTTGTAATCCCTCGTTCCCTTTGTTCATGAATGTATGATGGGGTCTGCAAATGGGGTCTGCAAATCTTCAGATCAGTGACTTACAGATTTCTGGGCAAGACATGGTTTGAGGTGAGTTTCTCATATTCTGTGAAGCCAAAGATTCACTTACACCATCATGAGATGAATCCAGTCATCATAAAGGCCAGAGTAGTCAGTCTATACTTCTAAAAGAGGAGGAGAAATAAAGAATATTATGAGAACATAAAGTGATATATATAGGCACAGAATGGTAGCATCAAGCAGTATAATTGAAGATAACCTCCAATTGAGCATAATGTAGAGGTATTAATAAATATTTAAGGGTGGTGGAAGTAGATGGCTTAGCAACTATAATTTTGTGTGTGTATGTAAAGAATGCAAATGAAATTTTTGAGCAAATATTTTCAGCTCTCTCTGAGTCTGCAGGTGAATATTTATAAATATTTGAATGCTTGCTGCGAATATTCTAATCCCTAGCTGTTCCAGGCATGTCTTAAGTGCTAGCAATCTAAACACAATAGAAAGCTTTTCTGATTTATGAATTATGATTTATTGAGAAAAATATATGATTAGAGCCACAGTAAAAAGTGATGACTGGTGATAGGGAAGGTATGTGTATCCTATTTAATGCTGCCACCTAGTAGTAATTTGTTATAATGCTATTTGTGTCTAAAACGTTTTCCCCAAAAACATATTACATATGTAGAAGAAGTATATCATATATACCCTAGGATTGATTGATCTGTTTTCTGTGTTCTACATTTGATCATTTTCTCTCAGCAGGTGACAGCTAGGGCAGATGGTACCGTATCCTCTTGGTTAGTGAGTGTTCGAACCTGTGCTCTTTACTCATAATATTTCTACTTCACCATTCTAAGTTGAATGTGGCATCTAACTCTTTTGGCCCTTGAGAAAATATGACAATGATAGTCTGGAGTTAGATCAAAAACAACAATAACAGCAACACAAGAAATCCTACTGGGTGTTAAGGATATGATGGAAGAAATGGTATGCAGATCAGCAGGCAACTGGGGATTTGTTGATGTCTTTGTATTTTATGGAGGATGTTCTGAACTTGGTGGGATAATTGACCAACACTTGTGTGATTGAATGTTACACAAAATGATAGTCAAAATCATGTCCCTATTTGACTAAATTTGAACAGGAAGGCTTCCCAGTCACTAATTGCATTGCTCCTGCTAATTGGGGTTTGTGTATATTGAGTGGTAGGAAAGTACATAGTGGAAGACCTTAGAGCAGACCTCCAAGAGAATGTGACTTCTAATCTGTTATCTGAAGGAATAGTAAGGATTAACTAGGCAAAAGGGTCTGGGGATGGGGGGGAGTCTTCAAAGGAAAGGTAACAACTGACTAGGGTTATGATAGGAGTGCTTGACATAGTTTATCTGGATAGTAGATTGATTATACAGTTAGCAATCTCAGGGCAAGGTTTATCTACTTACTGTGAAAAAGATGTGGCCTATTTAGCATATTCTTACCATAAAATAAAGAATAACTTACTTTTTAGCTGTACTATGTTTTCACATGGCAAACTACTAATTTCTTTAGGTACTATCACAGTGATATAGATGTATCTTGCATTTTATTTTGATAATGACCAAAAGTTTGAATTGAACTTTAGAAAATTTATCTGGAGATCTGGTAAAATGGTTTGTGACGTATTGTTTTGGTAAATTAGTAACTTTACATATCAAATTTATAATACTGTGTTACAACACACTGTATGATACCGGTAGTATCTTTATAATAAATGGTGTTTTAATGACTTTTGAGGTGTTCTAATGACAGTACCAAAAATCATCCACATGATCCAAGAATGGTTAGCAGCAAAATGGATTATCACTTAGCCCATCTCCTATGGTTATAGTTCAGTTCTTTTTGGAAAAGACTGGGTGTATCTAAAGTTGCATGAGGTAATCTTGCCTTGCCAAGAAAATGTTAATGTGCTAGTCCATTTCAGTTATCCCTTAAGTGATTATATATTCTAGTAAATACTCTCAAAGTATTTAAGGTCTGTTAATATTTCCCATAGTTTGTTCTGAAGAAGGAAGTTTTGGAATTAATTGTGATATGTTTGATTTTGCTGTTTCTTTTCATTTTTTTTGAAGCCTGTTTATATCTGTTTAATAATTCAGGTTCCCAACCTCAGATTCAGTTTCTTACTTTTTCCTATTTTCTTGAGTACTTTTTTAGTTTGTATCTTGTACCTATTTTAATATGTAATCATATACTGTATTGCTTTTTAAAAAAAGTATTTAATTGTAAACTTTTGATACTTACATGAATTCATTTAATTTAATATTATGTTTAATAAGGATTTGAAAATATTTCTAGGGACTTAAAGTCAAAGTTTTCAAGATATTACTGAGGGACTTTGTTTTTTTTAGCTAAATGGAGTTTTAAACTTATATAGCCTAAATAGTCTTTTTGTCTTTTGCTTCTTTTTAGTGAATTAGTACCATCTTACGATTCAGCTACTTTTGTTTTAGAGAATTTCAGGTAAGAGTTCTTGACAACTGTTTTTTTTTTTTTTTTTTTCTGTATGTACACATAAAGAAGAGCCAAGAAGGTATCATTCTTTGGTAGGATAGAGATCTAATGAACTCAGTAGTCTTAGAAGAAACAGGTTTCCTTCCACTTCCTTATAGGCAATACACAGGTTAAAAAAAAAAAGGAAAGTGAAATATAAAATAACAAAAATAAAAAGAAACAAGTTTCCTATTAGAAACAATTTATTTATTTGGATTGTTTTGTATCTTTAGGACTGATTACTTCTCTTGTTTGGGAAAAGGAACCATTTTAAAGAAGAGGGTCCACTTAGCTTTTGCCAAGGCAGAGGGCTGGGAATATAGAGGTTGATGAGCCCCTGCCTATCCATCCTCAGAAATAAAAGTGGTGGGATGAAGTCCTTTGGGATCCATATTATCTCTGCTGAAAGTTAGGAATTGTGGATAAGAGACCATTATTGTAAGAGATTTGTAGGCTTTGTAAGTTGCATGTTAATTTTGTTGGCGTTTACTGCTTTTTCCCTAAGATCAGAAGCAAACATCCTAAAACACAAAGGTTTTAAGGGACTTGTCTTGAAGGGCAACATGGAAGTGGGAACTAAGAATATAAGGTCTGGGGAGGAAAAGTCCAGATAGGCAATAGCCATTAAAAAAAGGCCACACCATGAGAATTTATACCCTTCCCTATTTAATTTGTCTTATTACATAATTTTGTGACCAAAATATAGCTTTTTTGAGGTTTTCTCCATGTATTTAAAGTTTAGCACATGTTCTCTTGTTTTTCTGTATTCAAAAAGGATAATTGTCCTGCAGGGACATGAGAAAGAAACACATAGGGGACGTTATTTTTTTTAATGGTGAAAGGCTACTTGCTGAAGCAGTAATTAAATTTGGGATACATAGTGATACTCTGGTTTTCCTTTAAATGTCACAGTTTTGAGGATTTTTTCCCCCTGAAATGTAAAAGATATTGAATATTTCAGTATCACTAAATTTTCATTTATTTCAGAATGTTAAGTATGTCTAAACTTATACAGTGGGATGTATTTCACAGCAGTTTTGATCTTGGGATTTGATAGATTTTCTTTTCCGTAGCACTTTGCGCCAGAGAGCAGATCCTGTTTACAGTCCACCTCTTCAAGTTTCAGGACTTTGCTGGAGGTTAAAAGTTTACCCAGTAAGTTTTTCATATTTCTCGTAAATTTTGAAAGCAAGATGGTTTTTTCAGGGTTCTAGAGTATACCAGTTCACTTTTTAGTGGAGTAAGGAAATTGAAGTAATGATAATTTTATATTTCTTTATGGGATATATAACTAAATCTGTGAAAAAATAATTTAAATATAAACAGTATGAACCCTGACATACTAAATTTTATTTCTGGTTTGTAGAAAGATATTTCCTTTAGAAGAAATGCTTTTTTTTTTTTTTTTGAGACAGAGTCTCACTCTGTTGCCCAGGCTAGAGTGCCATGGCGTCAGCCTAGCTCACAGCTACCTCAAACTCCTGGGCTTAAGCAGTCGTCCTGCCTCAGCCTCCCGAGTAGCTGGGACTACAGGCATGCACCACCATGCCTGGCTAATTTTTTCTATATATATTAGTTTGCCAATTAATTTCTTTCTATTTTTAGTAGAGATGGGGTCTTGCTCTTGCTCAGGCTGGTTTTGAACTTTTGACCTTGAGCAATCCACCAGCTTCGGCCTCCTAGGATTATAGGTGTGAGCCATCACACCCGGCCAAGAAATGTTTAAAATGCTTTTAAAAATCATTTTAGGCTAGGCACATGGTAGCTCACGGCTATAATCCCAGAACTTGGGGAGGCCAAGGCGAGAGGATCACTTGTGCCCAAGTGTTCCAGACCAGCTTGAGCAATCAATATATGTGGATTCTGTCTCTACAAAAAAAATTTAAAAATTAGCCTGGCATGGTGGCATGCGTCTATAATCCTCGCTACTCCAGAGACTAAAGTCAGAGGATCACTTGAGCCCAGGAGTTTGAGGCTGCAGTTAGCTGTGATTGTGCCACTGCACTCCAGGGTGGGTGACAGAGTGAGATCCTGTCTCAAAAAAAATAAATAAATAAATAAAAAATTTAAAAAATCAAATACAGGTAAAGAAAATCATCAAAAACACATGTATGCTGACTGCATACTCATGGTACATTTAAATATGTTCCTTTGGACCTGTATTTTTCTTAAATTGGTAGCTCTTTCCGGTGGCATAATGAGTCTCAAGTCAGTTCCTATGGCAAGAATATAAGCAGTAATGTGTTATTTTATCACATGATGTCTAGTTGTATCTCTTTTTGTGATACTAGCAGCTATTGGTACTCATTTCCTATGTCTTTCTGTTCATTGAGAATTACAAAATACTAATGTTCTCAGTTTGTTTTTCATTTATTAGTTGTAATAACTTTTTATTTTTTGGCTCTTGTCAGTTTATTGCATGAAGGAGTTACAATAGTCCAAGTAAAAGCAGACCCCAAATGGTCGCATTATATAAGCTGTGAGGTTTTTAAACTTGTGACAAGGGACAGAGGGGAAATTCTACTCACTGCAAGGAAACCCTCATTTAAGCTTCAGTGAACCACAAGCACTTAAAACCTATGAACCTTCAGCTGATTGTCCTTAGCCAGTCCAGTCTCTACAAGGAATTGGCATATGTTCTTGCGCTGGTCACCCTGTAGCTGAATTACTTCTCCATATTCTAGATGCTCAATTATAGTACCATTGCAGGCAAATTTCTTCTTAAAAGCCTCACTAATTTCTTTTTATAGTAATCATCAGCGATCCCTTGGACAGTAGTAAGGATCTTCCAGCTGTTTCTCTGTTGCATTCTTATATGGATGTAATTCTCAGTGCCAGCAGGAAGCACTTACTTGCATCAGCAAAGGGGTCAAAAGAGTGGAGGTTCTGGATAGCGGACATACGATATGCTTCCTTTTCCGTGGTGGAAACAGCCGCCTTCTGCCTGTGGAAGGTGGTGGCGGGAGAAGGCGGCGGCCAGGGGACGGAGCATTGGGAAGCGAAGGGGCTCAAGAGGGAGGCTGTGAGTCCTCAGCAGCGGCTCAGTGACTGGGTCTGTCATAGCTTTATAAAAAGTTGCTTCTTCTACTAATTTGGTTACCCCATATTACAGTTCATATAGAGGAGGCAGGACTTTTTCCCTTTATTTACCCTTTTTTTTAATCCTCTGAAAGGGATTACTTAGGTTTGGTTTTATTTTTTAATGTAATTATGAACACATGGATTTTCACATATTTAATCTCTCCAAGTTTGCTTCTGAGTCTTTTGGCCATGATTTCAGTAGCCCTTATGGTGACCCTAGTACAGTTAACCCTTGAACAAGGCGGGTTTGACCTGTTCATGCCACCACGCCTGGCTAATTTTTCTATTTTTGGTAGAGATGGGGTTTCACTCTTGTTCAGGCCGGTGTCAAAACTTCTGAGTTCAAGCAATATTCCTGCCTTGGCCTCCCAGAATGGAAGGATTACAGGCATGAGCTACCATGCCCAGCTAGGAAATTATATTTTAATACCAAACTAGTCTCTAAGGATGCTTGTGCTATCAGATTGGTCCTGTTTCTAGGCCTCTTTAGTGAAATATATACATACATAGATGTGTTTAAGTGTTTGGGGGTCTGTAATCATTTTTTATTTTTAAAATAGTTTTTCAAAAATAGGTGCTTTTTTTTGTTTTTTTTTAATAGAGACAGTCTCACTTTGTTGCCCAGGTTGGAGTGAAGTGGCACAATCGTAGCTTACTGTAACCTTGAGCTCCTAGGCTCAAGCAGTCCTCCTTTCTCAGGCTCCTGAGTGGCTAGGATTGTAGGTGCATGCTGCTATCCCTGGCTAATTTTTTAAAATTTTTGTGGAGATGAGTCTTACTGTGTTGCCTGGGGTGGTCTGGAACTCCTGGGCTCAAGTGATCCTTGTGCCTTGGCCTCGCACAATGCTGAGGTTATAGGCATGAGCCACTGTACCCAGCTGATTTTTTTAGATCATTTTAATAACAAAATTGAGCAGAAAGTACAGAGAGTTCCCATACACTTTGTAACCCCACACATGCTTAGCCACCCCACTGTTAATGTCCCACACCAGAGTGGTACATTGTTTTTTTCCAATTGTTAAACCTACATTGACACATCATTGTCGCCCAGAGTTCTTAGTTTACATTAGGATTTCCTCTTGTGTTGTACATTTTATGGGTTTTAACCAACGTATGTATTTATTTTTAAAGATAAAATAACTTGAATGTTCATCTTTATAATTCAAAATGAAGACTATATTCTATTACTATATAGTCTGTAATTCAAATTGAGGACTATAGGATTATAGAAGGCTATAAAGCTACCTGTGAAAACTATAGGAAATGATAGAATTAGAGTATCTTACAATTAGTCACTCATTTGCTTAATTTCACTTTACAGACACAAAGTCTTAGACTAGGAAATAATAATTCTATCATCAGTTTGATTACTGAGAACCATTAAGAACATTTTGTTTTTGCATATCTTCCCCATGTCTGGATAACAGTTTGGTTGTCCAAACCTTGTTCTATAGTATATTCTACTGCAAAGTCTAATAATGGAAACAATAATCCTTGAGTTCTCATATGTTAAAAACAGTTTGTGTCCTTTATACTCTAAAGCTGGTATTGCTGAATATAAAATCCTTCACCCATGTTTTCTTTCCTCGGGTATCTTACATATGCTGTACCATTTTCTTTAGGTAAAGTCTGATCATAAACTTTCTTCCTTCTAAAGGCATTTTCTGGTTTTATCTAGATGCCCAAATAATCTTTTTTTGTTTTTTGTTTGTTTCTTTTTGAGACAGAGTCTCACTTTGTTGCCCAGGCTAGAGTGAGTGCCGTGGCGTCAGCCTAGCTCATAGCAACTTCAAACTCCTGGGCTCAAGCAATCCTTCTGCCTCAGCCTCCTGAGTAGCTGGGACTACAGGCATGCACCACCATGCCTGGCTAAGTTTTTCTATATATGTTAGTTGGCCAATTAGTTTCTTTCTATTTATAGTAGAGATGGGGTCTTGCTCTTGCTCAGGCTGGTTTCTAACTCCTGACCTTGAGCAATCCGCCTGCTTCAGCCTCCCAGAGTGCTAGGATTACAGGCATGAGCCACCGTCCCCCCGCCCAGCCCCAAATAATCTTTTTAAGTCCAATAACATTTTTTTTTTTTGAGACAGAGTCTCACTCTGTTGCCCGGGCTAGAGTGAGTGCTGTGTCGTCAGCCTAGCTCACAGCAACTTCAAACTCCTGGGCTCAAGCAATCCTTCTGCCTCAGCCTCCTGAGTAGCTGGGACTACAAGCATACACCACCATGCCCATCTAACTTTTTCTCTGTATATTAGTTGGCCAGTTAATTTCTTTCTATTTATAGTAGAGATGGGGTCTCGATCTTGCTCAGGCTGGTTTTGAACTCCTGACCTTGAGCAATCTGCCCGCCTCTGCCTCCCAGAGTGCTAGGATTGCAGGTGTGAGCCACCACGCTCGGCCTAAGTCCAATAACTTACTACTGTATATTTTGGTTGTTCAGTATTCTCAGTTCCACACTGGGCTCTTTCAATAAGTTGTTTTAGATCTGTTTGTTTTTTCAGTTTTAGATCTGTTTGTTTGTCTTTCTGAATTTTAATGTTAGTGGTAAGTATTTGTTTTGTTCCTTTCTGGCTTTCTTTCCAGGGACGTGTGTAATCTGTATTTTGAATCTTCTTAGCCTGTCTTCAATATTTATCACTTTCTCTGTAGTCTTTTTAGCTCTTTATGCATTTCTTTTTCATTTTTAAAATTTTCCTTTGGGCCGGGTGAAGTGGCTCACTCCTGTAATTCTAGCACTCTGAGAGGCCAAGGTAGGACGATTGCTTTAGATCAGGAGTTTGAGACCAGCCTGAGCAAGAGTGAGACCCTCTCTCTACTAAAACAGAAAAATTAGCCAGGCGTCATGACGCATTCCTGGAGTCCCAGTTACTCGGGAGGCTGAGGCAAGAGGATTGCTTGAGTCTGGGAGTTTGAGGTTGCAGTGAGCTGCGATGATGCCACTGCACTCTACATACTCTACCCAGGGCAACAGAGTGAGACTCTGTCTCAAAAAAAAAAAAAAATTTTTTTTCCTTTGTTCACTTATTCTTTTAACATATCCATTGTTTATTTGCTTTATGTTCCTTCTAGTTCAGTCTTTATTTCTTGAATAACATTTTAAAATTCCAGTTCTTTCTTTAGTTCTATCACTTGATTTTTAAGCTTTTCTAATTCTAGTCTGTGCTATTCTTTTACATGTTATATAATTTTCTTTGTGTCTCTTAGGTTGTTTTGAAATAGGTTACACTTTTGATCTGCTTTTTGATTGTGTCTTTCTGGAGTGCTTTCATTGGCTGTAGGGATTTTATTCTGCTCTTTATTCTCTCGTTTATTTTGGTAAATAACACATAACAATTTATCCGAACAGTTTCTAAGTGTACAGTTCAGTAGTGTAAGTATATTCACATTGTTGTGCAATCAGTCTCCAGAATTTTTTCATCATGGGTTATTTGGTGGGGTTTTTGTTGTTGTTGAGTTGTAGGAGTTCTTTATATGTTCTGGTTATTAACCCCTTACCATATATATGATCTGAAAATCTTTTCTCCCATTCTGTAGGTTGCCTTTTCATTCCATTGATTGTGTCCTTTGATACACAGAAGTTTTTAATTTTGGTATCCAAGTTGTCTATTTTTACTTGTGTTTACTTTTTTTTTTCTTTTTCTTTTTGAGACTGAGTCTCACTCTGTTGCCCAGGCTAGAGTGCCATGGTGTCAGCCTAGCTCACAGCAATCTCAAACTCCTGGGCTCAAGTGATCCTTCTGCTTCAGCCTCCCGAGTAGCTGGGACTACAGGCATGCGCCACCATGCCCGGTTAATGTTTTCTATATATTTTCAGTTGGCCAATTAACTTCTTTCTATTTTTAGTAGAGATGGGGTCTCGCTTTTGCTCAGGCTGGTTTCACACTCCTGACCTTGAGTGATCCTCCTGCCTCGGCTTCCCAGCACGCTAGGATTATAGGCGTGAGCCACCGTGCCCAGCCATACTTTTTTTTTTTAATTTCTATTTCATTTCTAGGAAATTACTATATCCTTGCCAAATGCAATGTGATAAAACTTTTCCCTTATGTTTTCTCCTAAAAGTTTTATAGTTTTAAACCTTATGTTTAGATCCTTGATCCATTTTGAGTTCACTTTTGTGTATGGTGTAGGAGTCCAACTTCATTCTTTTGCATGTGGTTATTAGTATAATACAGCAATCAAAAATATGCTGGCTTGTTTTCTGAGAGATTTCTTGGCTCTCCTCTCTTCTGCTTCTACCTGGACCTTCTCTTTTTGTCTTCATTGTTTCTATGCTGTTTATCTTTTATTTCACTTTTAGATCTTTGTTTGTAATCTGGGGCCCTGTCCTGAAAGTCCTTGGATATTACTTTTCAAGAGTTCATAACGACTAGACTGCATTTAATTTTTCTAGGCTATCTTATATTAGTCCCCTTGTATTTAGCTAGCAGTATATTGAACAGCTCTTTCCAGTTTCACCTGTTAAATTTGGCTCATGATGCTTTTCAGCTAATAACTTGTGTATACTTTGCCATTCTCCTGTTTTTTGGTCCATTCAGATGCTGCTCTACTTTGTCCCACATAGATGTTGGTAGCATGCAGGTCTTTGTAGTGTAATTGGTTTGTCTGTACCTGCTTGTATTTGGGGGAATGTGGGGATAAACTGCCATCTAGTTTTGTTGTAAATGTATGTAGGCTTTTGGTTTTGCTGTCAAGTTATTATTTGTTTTGTTTTTTTTATGTTTGGATTTGGAGAGTTGCAAGAACTATGTTGCCATTGCAGCAGTCTTTCCAGAATCCTCTACTTATTGAAAAGTCTTAAAGCCAGTATTTTGTTATAGGTGCATCTGGCATGAAAGTAAAACTAATAAGAATTTTTGTTGCTTAAGAAATTTCTTGCTTTTCTGCTGGCATTAAGTTAAGAAACAAGAAAAAAGAAAGAAAAGAAAAATTTAATAACTGATAAATGAAGGTCAGAGCCAAAAAATGTTCATTCCTTTTTACTTATAAATTTCGCTCCAGGGAAGTTTTTCTAGGAATAAAATTAAAAAGAAAATGTTAAGCTATTTTAGCAAGGATGTCAACTGATTTTTAAAATCAATATGGTTTGTGATATAATTTACATTTAACAAAATTCACTAATTTTGGCAAGTTTTAACAAATACAGTCCTCTAGTCACTGCCACAGTGATAATGTTGACTTTGAAAAGTTATCTTATTCCCCTTTTCACCTAATCCCTCTCCTTTCCTGGCCTCTGTGCTACCACTGATCTGCTTTTGTGAGGATAGTTTTGTTTTTCTAGAATTTGTATAATGGGATCATATAATGTATAATCTTTTGTGTTTGGCTTTTTCCACTTAGCTAATGGTTCATGTATTCATTAGTATTTATTGAGGTTATGTCAAACCTTGAAGGCTACCTCAGGTCATTTTCAAGCAAGGTAGACTAGAAATGAAGGGGTTATTAAGTACTTAAACCCCTTTATAGTCATATCCCAATGGACACTGGACGTATATAAGGCTTCCTGTCTTTAGCTCTCATACTCTGGTTGGGAGAACAGATGTTTAAATAAGTAGTTATAATGAATGTGATCCTTTAAAGAAATATATGCCTGAGCAAAGTACTGGAGAAATAGAGGAAGTAGTTATTTTTATAAAAATCTCTATAATAGTGATTTTAAAAACTTCTAAATCTCTAGAGAGAATCTTATGTGGAACCTTAACAAAAAACATATAGAAATTACATATAATTGCTTTTAACATTGGATGTCACCTTTTACCAGGTATCCTTTTTTGGTTGTAATAATTTTTTTTTCTCATTTCTAACTAAATTTTTTTTTTTTCCATTGGGGGTCTTAGTTTTTTGTTAGAGCTAATTTGTAAAAGTTCTTTATATGTTAAAGCTCTCAACCCTTTTCATGATTGTTGATATTTTCCTTATTTTGTTTGCTTTAATATTTTCACTTTTTAAAAATTTACTAAAGTTGAAAATTGTTACAGGCTCAAATCTATTGGTCTTTTCATAAATTTTTTTATTACTTTGAGGCTTAGTAGTACTTCCCAATCCAGATATCAGATATTAATCTCAATTTTGTCTGTTTGTATTATTGTGGCTTAGTTTTTTACATTTAAATTGCGCTGGAATTTGTATAACCTCTGATTCTTTTTAAGGATGGAAATGGAGTTGTCCGTGGTTACTACTTATCTGTGTTTCTGGAACTCTCAGCTGGCTTGCCAGAAACTTCCAAGTAAGAAATATAATTAAATAACAACCTTAATGTGCATTTATATACATTCCCCCTAGCAATTTTGGTTAATAATTGTTTTGTTAATTATAATTTTGTTAATTATTTTTAATTTTTGTTTATGTCTGTTATGATGTACGTTAGTATAGAATTGTTGCTATAGTATGATAGCATAAATTGGCATTTCTCAAATTATTTGGCCTCATGTCCTGGTATACTCTTTTTTTTTTTTTTTTTTTTGAGACAATGTCTCCATTGCCTTGGGTAGAGTACTGTGGTGTCATGATAGCTTATTGCATCGTCAAACTCCTGGGCTAAAGTGTTCTTCCTACATTGCCTCCCGAATAGCTGGGATTATAGGTGTACAACACCACACTAGGCTAATTTTTTCTGTTTTGGATAGAGACGGGGACTCACTCTTGCTCAGACTGGTCTTCAACTCTTGGCCTCAAGCAGTCCTCTGGCCTTGGCCTCCCAGAGTGCTAGGATTACAGGCGTGAGCCACCATGCTTGGGCTAAATGTATTTCTTTGCGTTTTTGGAAATCTCTTTTACTGTCTAGTTTAACACATTGAGTGCCATGTGAGTTACATTTAACTCAGGCTAGTTTTGACCCTGGGGCCTTGTAAAGCAAAACCCTGTGGTTGGTTTGTGAAAGTGTAATGTGTTGATGTTCTTATTGTTACAGTTGATATTGACAATTCTAAAAATGTGGATTGTGCTGCATATAACTCATGCAGAGAAAACAATAAAAAGTAACAAAGTAGAAAGGATCATTTTGTTTTAATAAAACACAATGACCCCAGGAAGATTTTTTTTTTTCCCCTAGTGTGGCAGTCAATGTGTTAAAAGAAGACAACTTTTATATTTACATTTATTTATTTATTTATTTATTTATGAATGAATGAATGAATGAATGAATGAATGAATGAATGAATGAATGACAGGGTCTTGCTCTCTTGTCCTGGCTAGAGTGCCATGGTGTCAGCCTAGTTTACGGTAATTTCAAAGTCCTGGGCTCAAGTGATCCTTCTGCCTCAGCTTCCAGAATAAACAGAACTATAGGCAAGTACCACCATGCAGGGCTAATTTTTTCTATTTTTATCAGTTCCTGGCTCCTTATTTCTATTTTTAGTAGAGATGAGGGTCTCGCTCTTGCTGAGGCTGGTCTCGAACTCCTGATCTCCAGTGATCCTCCTGCCTCAGCTTCCCAGAGTACTAGGATTATAGGTGTGAGCCACTGTTCCTGCCTATTTTTAATTTCTTGGAATAATTAATTTTGTTTGAAGTGTGTATATAAAATCTGGCCACACAGATTCTGAATATCATGTAGGTTGGAATTTGAGATGTATTTCACATAGCATCAAATTTACCTGTTAAAAATATACGGTTTAGTGTTTTCTAGTACATCAACAGAGTTCTACAACCATCATTGATATCTATTTCAGAACATTTTCATCAGCCCACAGAGAAACCCTGTACCGATTAGCGGTCACTTCTCATTTCCCCTTTCCCCCAGTGCCTGGAAGCCACTAATCTACTTTTTATTAAGGAGGAGTACTTTGAAAAGCAGTGTTACATTATTTTGGATCTTCTTTGATACTACCTCAAAACTGAACAAGTGGTATAGTTTGTTATATGTTATTTGTGATGTGGAATCTGAAACCACATCAGTGAATTTTTTTTTAAATTTACTGTTGCATGAAAATCTGTTTGTTTGGTATGGAATGCTTGCTTTCAGCTAACATGGAAGAACAGTGATGGAATTTACTTTTCTACAACAACCCAAAACAAAGAAACCCATGAAACAACATTTTCTAAACACCAGAATGAGGTAATAAGTGAAAGCAATCCCTGAGAGATAAGAAACACACAAATTAGTTCTATGATTTCTCCAGCTGGCAGCCTTACGAATTTTCACCTTAGCCTCCTGAATAGCTGGGACTACAGGCACTTGCCACCATGGCTAGTTTTTAAATTGTTTGTAGAGACAGAGTCTTTCTGTGTTGCTCAGGCTGGTCTCAAGCTTCTGGCCTCCTGTGATCTGCCCACCTTGGCCTCCCAAAATGCTGGGATTACAGGCGTGACCTACCATGCCCAGCCTCAAATTGAACTCCCTTGAAGTGGAACTATGTTTTATATGGAAAATAAAATGGATGGGATGAATGACAAATTCAATATTGTAAAGGAAAGATTCATCAACTTGAAGGCATTGCAGTACAAATTATCCAAAATGACACATACAAAAAATAATTCTAAAACAGTAGCATGACTTCAAGCAGCTCAATATAAGGTGATTGTGAGTCCCTAAAGGAGGGGTGGGGGTAGAACAGATATTTGAAGAAATAAAGGTAAACTTTTCAAACTTGATGAAAATTTTAAACCCACAGATCCAGGAATCTAGCTTAATGAACTACAAGCTCCAAGACATGAAGAAAACACCAAAGAACATCATAAGTATATTGTTCAAAACCAATGATAAACCACCAGTGGGAAAAAGATGTTATATACAGAGGATCAAAAATAAGGATGAAATCAGATTTCTCATCAGAAACAATACAAATGAAATGATAATAGAGTAGCATCTTAAAAAGAGTGGACTGAAAGAAATCTATCAGCCGTCAAAAAATATCTTTTAAAAAATAAAGGTGGGCCGGGCGCAGTGGCTCACGCCTGTAATCCTAGCTCTCTGGGAGGCCGAGGCGGGCTGATTGCTCAAGGTCAGGAGTTCAAAGCCAGCCTGAGCAAGAGCGAGACCCCGTCTCTACCATAAATAGAAAGAAATTAATTGGCCAACTATTATATATATAGAAAAAATTAGCCGGGCATGGTGGCACATGCTTGTAGTCCCAGCTAGTTGGGAGGCTGAGGCAGCAGGATTGCTTGAGCCCAGGAGTTTGAGGTTGCTGTGAGCTAGGCTGACGCCACGGCACTCACTCTAGCCTGGACAACAAAGCGAGACTCTGGTTAAAAAAAAATAAAATAAAGGTGAAATGAAGACATTTTCATACATATTTTAGACCTGGACTGTAAGAAATGTTAAAGCACATGCTTCAGGTAGAACGGAAGTAATGTGGACTGGCATACGGTGGCTTATGCCTGTAATCCTAGCACTGAGGCCAGGCGGGAGGATTGCTCAAGGTCAGGAGTTCGAAACCAGCCTGAGCAAGAGTGAGACCCCGTCTCTACTAAAAATAGAAAGAAATTAATTGGCTGACTGAAAATCTATAGCAAAAATTAGCCAGGCATGGTGGTGCGTGCCCGTGGTCCCAGCTGCTTGGGAGGCTGGGGCAGGAGGATCGCTTGAGCCCAGGAATTGGAGGTTGAAGTTGCCGTGAGCTAGGCTGACGCCAGGGCACCCTAGCCTGGACAACAGAGTAAGACTCTTATCTCAAAAATAAGAAGAACCAATGAAGATGAAAGAATCTTTTTTTCTTAAACATTATATGCCGTTTATGTGATATGATGTAGAGCAGTGTTTAAAAAAAAAAGAAATATGCCCTTTCTTATAACTGATTTTTTTTTTAAACTATTTTAATTTATTTTATTTTTTTTTATTTTTATTTTTTTTGAGACAGAGTCTCGCTTTGTTGCCCAGGCTAGAGTGAGTGCCGTGGCGTCAGCTAGCTCACAGCAACCTCAAACTCCTGGGCTCGAGTGATCCTTCTGCCTCAGCCTCCCGGGTAGCTGGGACTACAGGCATGCGCCACCATGCCCGGCTAATTTTTTTTTATATATATATATCAGTTGGCCAATTAATTTCTTTCTATTTTATAGTAGAGACAGGGTCTCGCTCTTGCTCAGCTGTTTTGAACTCCTGACCTTGAGCAATCCGCCCGCCTCAGCCTCCCAAGAGCTAGGATTACAGGCGTGAGCCACAGCGCCCGGCCTAAAACTATTTTATATTCAAACTTTTACCTATACTTGATCCTGGACATATATGACCATTTTCATTAATGTTTTTCCCCTCAGATTTTTAGTATTCTTGATTATTTGTGAGTCTTGAGTTTTCACAATACTCATTTTTTAAAATAGAGGTAAGTAGAAATTCTCTTAGTTGAAATTCATATAACACTCAACCATTTTTAAATCCACAATTCAGTGTAATTTAGCTCATTCACAGTGTTGTGCAACCACACCTCTCTGTAGTTTCAAAATATTTCTATCACCCCAGAAACTCTGTACCCATTAAGTAAACATTTCCTGGTTCCTCCTTACCATATCCTTGCACAGCTACTATTCTGTTTTCTCTGTGGATTTACCTGTTCTGGGTATTTCATATAAAAGATTTTATGATGTGAGACCATTGTTTTTTTAAGTATATTTAATAAAAATAATGCACAGTTTTGTGTATTTTACATGTATAGAATATTTACGCATTCCTTCTACAGCATTTACTTAATGTTATTTTTCCAGTATTTGCCTTTTGTACTATTTCCTTCAGTAGTAAAATTGTCCAGTGTTCTCTTTTACTAAAAAATTAGTTTGTTGGGCAGTCCTCCTTGTTCCAAGGCCACTGTTCTTTTCCGTTTTTTGCCATAGCTGGATGTGACTGCTCCTTTAAGGTTTCCACAGGACAATTTGGTCTTTGCAGTGGATGTTCAGGTGTTGGTCCTGGCCAATTACTGGAATACTTAGTTTTCAGTGCCTGTGTGGCTGTAATTCTACTACACGGGTTGAATAATAAGCCTTGTATGAGATCGAGCAAGTTGTCTCCTGCTGCAATGAAGATGTGTTGCAGTGGAACTCTGGGGAAACTTAAATTTTACATAATGTTGAAGACTGCACATGTCAGGCTGCTGTTCCTCAGTTGGTGTGCCCAAAGTTTCAGATATTCCTGTCAGCTGCTCAAGATCTGCATCTCCTGGCAAAAAAGGAACCCTTAAAAGCAACTCTGCTAATATACAGCTCACAGCCCACATGTCTACACCCACACCATACATTCTAGCTCCAAATAGTAACTCAGGGGCCTGGTTACAGTCAAATGTGTATAAGCCTACGGGGGCTTCCAAATGATTTGGCCAAGCCAAAATCTCCTAGTTTTAGAACTCCATTTTCATCTAGCAACAAGTTTGGTTTCAGATCCCTATGTAGTATCCCATATTGATGTAAATGTTCTAACCCTTGTAGAGTCATCAACATGTAAGCTTTGATGTGTGATGGTGTCAACACAAGACTATCATCCTTTGTTACATCCTCTGGATCAATTTCCATAAAAATCAAAGACAAGGCTAATACTAGATTTATGTTCAGAAGCATCAAGGACCATCTTTAGCTGGTGATCTATGTCCAAGTTTTATTTTCTTAATGGTGATGATTTATCTCTGGCCTTGTTAACTCTGGCAAACTTAGTCTCCAACAGCTACTTCCAGTGCCACTGGGCTCTGGTGCTTTAGTGGCCCTGCCCGATTTCCGGAATAGACGTGGATATTGTTCAGTGGGGTGCGGCCTATTTTTGTATCTTTCATTTAGCATAGGATTTTCATGGTTCCCCCATGTTGAAGCATATATCAGAACTTCATTCCTTCATATGGCTGAATAATATACCATTGTATGTATATATCACAGTTTGTTCATTCATCTGTTAACGTTGTGGTGTTTCCACCTTTTGGCTATCATGAATACTGCTTATAAATATTGACATCCAAGTTTCTGTGTGGGCATATATATTCTTTTAAATATATACATGTAGTTGTGAAATTGCTGGGTTATATGGTAATTCTGTGCTTAACTTTTTGAGGACCTGCTGAACTTTTCCACAGTACCTGCATCATTTTATATTCCAACCAGCAATGTAGGAAGATTTGTATTCCTCTACATCAGGCATCCTCAAAGTATGGCCCGAGGGCCACATGCGGGTGTTTTTGCCCATTTGTTTTTTTACTTCAAAATAAGATATGTGCAGTGTGCATAGGAATTTTGTTCATAGTTTTTTTTAAACTATAGTCCAGCCCTCCAACAGTCTGAGGGACAGTGAACTGGTCCCCTGTTTAAAAAGTTTGAGGACCCCTGCTCTACATCCTTGATATCAGTAGTTATTTTCTGTTTTTAATTATGGTTATCCTAGTGGGTGTGAAGTGGTATTTTATTATGGTTTTGATTTGCATCTCCTTAATGACCAGCAAAGTTAAACATCTCTTTATGTACTTACTGGCCATTGTTGTATCTTCTTGAAGAAATGTCATTTTATGTCCATTGCCCATTTTTTAATTGATTTTTTTGTCTATTTTTTGTTGACTTATAAGAATTTCTAGATACTAAAACATTGAAAGAGATATGATTTGCAAATAATTTCTCCCATTTGGTAGGTTGTCTTTTCACTTTTATGATAATGTCCTTTAATGCATGGAAATTTATACACTTTATCTTTTTTGAGACCTGAGAATTCTATACAATAGGATATGGAGATCAGGATATATTGGCTTTCCCAGTGTATAGATACTTTTTTTATTGATTTAGGTCAGAGTATTATGTGAGTACAAACGTTTTGGTTGCATAAGTTGCCTTTGTACCTTTTGAGTCAAAGTTATAAATGTGTCCTTCCCCCAGATAGTGTGCATTGTACTCATTAGATACGAATTTACCCATCCCCTCCTCACACCTCCCCATATTTTCTAGTAAAAGATTTTATAGCCTTGAATTTCTGAGTATACAATAAGTTGCTTTATATAGCAAAGTGTTTTAAAATTTATATTTTAAAATTGCATGGTGATAAACCTCAAAGGATAATAGAAATGACAGAACATTCATATCTGAGAAAATGTAAATAATGAATATATAGAAAAAAGTCTTGCATTTGTAAAACAAATAACTGAAGTATTTGTTTATACTAAATTTATTCTTTGACGTGTTTTATGCTTGATATATTGACATTTTTACGAGGAAAAAAGGACCTAGTGCCAATTATGTTTTGGGTACCCATTCAAAATACTGCTGTTTTTATAAATGATACAGTCCTTTCTGAAGGAAATGTAACTGTATATCAGTAAGTTTCTTTAGGTAATTACTTAATGACCTTAATGTTTAAATGAGTCTGTCTTTTATTCTTCCTTTACTAACAAAATAGCAATGGTCTGGTTTTTAATTTTAGATACGAATATCGTGTAGAGATGGTTCACCAGTCCTGCAATGATCCTACCAAAAATATCATTCGAGAATTTGCATCTGACTTTGAAGTTGGAGAATGCTGGGGCTATAATAGATTTTTCCGTTTGGACTTACTTGCAAATGAAGGATACTTGAATCGGCAAAATGATACAGTGATTTTAAGGTAATAGGAAACATTTGATACTCTGGCTTTTTATTGTGGGTGAATAATATTATCAGAACTTTAACTTCAAGTCAGTGACAAGTTAAAAGGAAAAAACAGACAATAAAAGAATCTTTAGGCCGGGCGGGGTGGCTCACGCCTGTAATCCTAGCACGCCTGTAATCCGGGAGGCCGAGGCAGGCGGATTGCTTGAGGTCAGGAGTTGGAAACCAGCCTGAGCAAGAGTGAGACCCCGTCTCTACTATAAATAGAAACAAATTAATTGGCTAACTAATATACATAGAAAAAATTAGCCGGGCATGGTGGTACATGCCTGTGGTCCCAGCTACTTGGGAGGCTGAGGCAGGAGGATCGCTTGAGCCCAGGAGTTTGAGGTTGCTGTGAGCTAGGCTGACGCCATGGCACTCACTCTAGCCTGGGCAACAAAGCGAGACTCTGTCTCAAAAAGAAAAGAATCTTTATTTTAAAGACCATCCATTTAACAAAGATGAATATTGAAATTCATACTAACTATAATCTTAGCATTTTCTTAACTGTTTCATTTCAGGAGTCCTTTGTAATCAGTGTATAATAAAAGTCAATAATTTGTTTGACATCTAGTTAGTAATTTTGTTAAAAAGGAAACTACTAAACTGGGTATGTTAATGTAGTCCCAGCTACTCAGGAGGTTGAGGTGGGAAGCTCTCTTGAGCCCAGGAATTAAAGACCATCCTAGGCAACATAGATCCTATCTCAAAGGGAAAAAAAGGAAACTGCTATTTCCAGGAAATGTAATAATATTCTATTTCTGTTTTAAACTTTTAGCAACCTCATGATTTGGAAATCTAAGAATAGTGAGAGATCAAGTGCTTCTTTTTTTTATTTGACTTGACAATTTATATACTATTTGGGTGACTGGTTTTACATACTTAATTTTATTAAATGACTTTCAGTTCTTCCAGGATAATAAATAGCAAATTAAAAGTAAGGGAATAGAAATGAAGATAGATGAAAACCAACAGTTTTTGTGGGTATGGTATTTGCAAGAAAGCAGAGAATATGAACACTTAAAACAACAGCGATATTTAATGTTGGGGTAGCCTTTGCAGGTTAGAAGTTTTGGGGCATCATTACATTATGTTATAATTTGATGATCAAAATAGGAACCTGAATATTTAAAAAAGATTCAAATATGTTCTGAATTGAGAAGTTTCAGAGTGTTTAACAGTTTAAAAAGTTTCCATCAAAACAATCTTAAAAGTTTTTTTCCTTGGGAGTGATCTACAACAGTCCCCAGCCTTTTTGGGATCAGGGACCAATTTCATGGAAGACAGTTTTTCAACAGATGGGGGAAGGACTGCTCAGGGACTGGCTGTAAATGCAGATAAAATTTCTGCTCCCTCACCTGCTGCTCACCTGTTGCTGTGAGTCCTAGGTTTCATGGAAGGAAATTTTTCTGCTGATAAAGGAGGTGAGGGATGGGGGGGTGAAGCTCAGGTTCCTAACAGGCTACTGACATACTAGGACTCAGCCTGGGGATTTGGGGACCCTGGATATACTCCTAAATTTCTCTTTTTCTGAGCTCTTTGTTCTTGAGCATGCTAGATAAATGAGTTGCTGTCATATCAATGTTTACTATTGGATATATTCTTTGTGGATTTTCTGGGAGTATAAACAGGTGAAAAATTTTCAGGGTTGGGAAATACATTCATGTTTTTGTCATATTTTCTTTTAGAGGGATTATTTTAGTTCTATGTTATAACTTTTCAGGCTTTTGATTTTTAATTATTCACCAAGAGAAATAATTGGTTGCTATTTCATGCTTCACCTGTAGAGAGGATTGCAAAATTATTCAAACATCAATTTTACTAACCTACAAAGAGCCATTTTTTATATCCTTAGTCCTTTCCTTATTGGAGTCATAGTAATGTTAAATCTTCTGGCTGTGTCAGAGAATTTTCTTTTTTTAATGCACTTTATTCTGGCCTATAGCTTTTTAATTAGGCCATCCCTGTTTATAACAAAGCCGTTATTTATAGACTTGTATATTAGTTTGGGAACATATTCCTATTGTGATTTAATTATTCAGCAGCATTTCTTGAGTCTGTACCCTGTGCCTGACACTGGGCTGATAATAAAAAAGGAGTAGAAATGCTTTTGTCCTAATGGAACTCAAGATGAAATGGGCAGATAAAAACAGAATTTACTACTCTATAAAACAATGTTGTAATAGTGGGATAAATAAATTGCTGTTGGGTTCATGGAGGGGTCTTCTAATTGTCCTATTACTCATATTTATTTAATGAGAGATTGTTCAAAATTTAAACCTCATTTAGTTCATGATTCTAGTGCAGGGTCCTCAAACTTTTTAAACAGGGGGCCAGTTCACTGTCCCTCAGACTGTTGGAGGGCTGGACTATAGTTAAAAAAAAAACTGAACAAATTCCTATGCACACTGCACATATCTTATTTTGAAGTAAAAAAGCAAATGGACAAAAACACCCACATGTGACCCTTGGGCCGTAGTTTGAGGATGCCTGTTCTAGTGGAATTTTGTATGTACTAATTAGAAAGTTATTTAAGGCTTTTCTATAGCTTTATATAAATATATTATTCTTTCATTGAAAGAGAAAATTAAATTTTACCTGCTGCTTGCTTTTGTTTTAATGGCACAAATATTTAAAATAATGTGCAGAGTTGACCCACAGTTTCATTAGTCATTCAAAGAAAATTGATTTGAAGGTCTTACTCTAATGTCTTTCTAATGAGTACTGTCCTAGGCAGTATCCACTTAGATGATGGTTGAGTGAATCATCTCTACTCTCTCATGAATGAGTATCCTTGACTAAAATTAGATATCTACTGCAGATAACTATTAGGTGGTTAGCAGTTTCTTAAACTAGGTGCAAAATCCTAGAAAAAACTAAATAGTAGCTAACATAAGAGTGGTAGGGTGGAAGGGCTTGAAGGGGTGAGAGATGTGGACTACCAAATTCTTGTGTCTGGTTCTTCTTTTCCATAAAAACACCTTTACGGATGCACCACAAATGTTTTCACTATTAATGTAATCATGTTAGGCTATGTAACGAAGGTATAGGTTTGTTTGCTTTAATAGGCATTAGTTTTTTAAAAATAGAAATAACAGCTGGGTATGGTGGCCCATGCCTGTAATACTAGCACTTTGGGAGGCTAAGGCAGGAGGATTGCTCGAAGGCAGGAGGATTGCTCGAAGCCAGGAGTTCAAAACCACCCTGAGCAGCATAGCAAAAGCCTGTGTCTACAAAAAAATAGAAAAGTTAGCCAGATGTGGTGGCACACACCTGTAGTGTCAGCTACTTGGCAGGCTGAGTAATAAGGATCACTTGAGTCCGGGAGCTTGAGGTTGCAGTAAGCTACGATGACCGTAGCCCAGGCAAAAGAGCCAGACCCTGTCTCCAAAAAGGGACAGTAACTTTGGATAGATCAAGATTCTATCACTTATCTATTAATTTAATATAAAAACAGTATTCTTTTATCTCTAATCCTAGCTGGGACACACCATATTGTATTAATAATATAGGGAAAGTTTTTGTTTTGAGACAGAGTCTCACTTTATTGACTGGGCTAGAGTACTACAGCATCAGCATAGCTCACAGCAACCTCAAACTCCTGGGCTCAAGGGATCCTCCTGCCTCAGCCTCCCAAGTAACTGGGACTATAGGCAAGCACCACCACACCTGGCTAATTTTTTCTATTTTTAGTAGAAACAGGTCTTGCTCAGGTTTTTTGTTTTTGTTTTTGTTGTTTGTTTTGAGACAGAGTCTCACTGTGTTGCCCAGGCTAGAGTGAGTGTCATGGTGTCAGCCTAGCTCACAGCAACCTCAAACTCCTGGGCTTAAGTGATCTTCCTGCCTCAGCCTCCCGAGTAGTTGGGATTACAGGCACTCGTCACCGCGCCTGGCTAATTTTTTCTATATATTTTTAGCTATACAAGTGATTTCTTTCTATTTTTAGTAGAGATGGGGTCTTGCTCTTGCTCAGGCTGATCTCGAACTCCTGAGCTCAAACAATCTACCCACCTCGGCCTCCCAGAGTGCTATCATTACAAGTGTGAGCCCCCTTGCCTGGCCAAGGGTGTTTTGATTTTAAGCTGCTGTCTGAAGGGATTGAGGATATAGTTTTTTTTAGAGCATGTAAGTAACTCTTTGGGGGACACTATAAGTACAGATTGAACTGGACAGCTGACTTTTCAGAAACATACCTCATTATAATTTGTGGACTACATGTATAAATAGCAAATACCAGGAGCTTTCAGTTCATTTGAATTTTGGCTCTATAATATAATCAAATTAACCAGAATTGCAGAATGTATAATTATAGATTTAAGGCTAGATTATGTTTTATTGTTTGGATTATTTTTTATGTGGAATTATTCTTTTAAGGTTTCAGGTACGTTCACCAACTTTCTTTCAAAAATGTCGGGACCAGCATTGGTATATTTCTCAGTTGGAAGCTGCACAGACTAGTTATATCCAACAAATAAACAACCTTAAAGAGGTAAGGAAGTAACGTCTATTTTTGGTTTAGTGTTTTATACTGTCCTTTTGGCTTGTTACATTTGTAATTAGATTTTGGATATTTATTGTTTGTAATTTTGTTTAAAAAATCCAATTATCCTGTTCCCTGTCCTTGTCACCTTTGAGCCTCTAGTTCTGCACTGTCCAGTTTAGTAGCCACTAGTCATATATGGCTATGTAAATTTAACATAATTAAAAATTTATTAATAGTTCTTTGGTTGCAGTAGCCTCATTTCAAATGCTTGTCTTAGGCATTGCAGATAAAGAATGTTTTCATCATTGCATAAAGTTGTATTGCATAATATTGGTCTAATTTTAGATAAACTCTTTGTGTTTCTCTCAATTACTTAACTATTTGCTATCTTTAGTGGACTCTAAGATATAGAATAATTGGAAGTTGCCCCATCTTGAATTCTCACTATTGTTGAATGAGCACTGGGGAAGATCAGTTAATGAATTTTTATTTTACAATGGTAAACTAAATTATGTAAGGAATGTTTCTTTCCCCCTAATGAACTTGGGATGTGGTTGGAGGTTTGGAGTGCTGAGAGTGGTTAATAGATGAGGGAGGAAAATATGAATATATGAATAAATACATACTTTCAGAGATTTTCATGCTAAGTGTAGTATTTACAACTGCCTCTATTCACTATACAGTTTGCTAATTATCTGTGATCTGTGTAGCTTGGGCTGGATATGAAAGAAGGAGGATAAGAATAATTTATCTTTGTCACAGATTTTTTTTTCATAAAAGGCAGGAGGGATTGAGAGAAATCGTTTTAGGAACATCTGGATGCAATTTTTTTTTTACTTGTACCATTTTTTACTGTGCCAGTGAGGCACTGCTTATGACCTTTTATTTGTGTTCTTGTTTTAAAAGAGACTTACTATTGAGCTGTCTCGAACTCAAAAATCAAGAGATGTGTCACCACCAGATAATCATCATAGCCCCCAAAATGATGATGCTTTGGATACACGAGCTAAGAAGTCTGCATGTTCTGACATGCTTCTTGAGAGTGGTCCTACTACAGCTTCTGTAAGGGAAGCCAAAGAGGATGAAGATGATGATGAGAAGATTCCGAATGAAGATTATCATGTAATAATTAGGGCAATTTTAGGTTTTTTTTTGTGTGTGTTTGATAAAATAACTATAGGGTCATGGCTTTTAACATATAATGTATTGATGCAGTAGGCTGAAAATCTTGTTCATTGATTTTCATTATTGTATGTATGCCTTTATGTATAAGTCAGCAGTTGTTGAATCAAATCATTTCAAGGTTCTAGGCCGGGCGTGGTGGCTCATGCCTGTAATCCTAGCACTCTAGGAGGCCGAGGTGGGCAGGTCGTTTGAGACCAGCCTGACCAAGAGCGAGACCCCATCTCTACTAAAAAAAACAGAAATTAGCTGTACAACTAAAAAATAAAATAAAATAAAATAAAAAATATATATAAATTAGCTGGCCATGGTGGCGCATACCTGTAGTCCTAGTTACTCAGCAGGCTAAGGCAGGAGGATCACTTGAGCCCAGGAGTTTGAGGTTGGTGTGAGCTAGCCTGATGCCATGGCACTTTACTCTAGCCCAGGCAACAAAGTGAGACTCTGTCTCAAAAAAAAAAAAAAAAAAAAAAAAAGCTTATAAAACAGATTGTAGTGGACATTCTAGAAACCAAAGTATAAATTGTGGATTTAAAAAATATGTTCTATTTCCATTCACTTAAACTAGTCGATACTTTATCATTGCATATATAGGTAGAATGATTTTTGGGTTTTGGAGATTGCCTGGTTTTGTCCTAGCTAAACAACAATCAGAATAAGAATTGAAGAATTCGTTGCTATTTTTAAGTAAAATGGGGATGCTGAGATGAGTGAAGGTGTTTTTGTAGTAGTTGCTATTTTTTAAGATGAAAGAGAGGCCAGACATAGTGGCTCATGCCTATAATCTTAGCACTTTGGGAGGCTAAGGTGGGAGGATCGCTTGAGGCTGGGAGTTCAGGACTGGCCTGAGCAAACTAGCAGGACCTCATCTTCATTAAAAATTAGCTGGATGTGGTATAATTCACCTGCTGTCTTAGCTACTCCATAGGTTGAAGCAGGACAGGATGATCACTTCATCCCAGGAATTTGAGGTTCAGTGAGCTATGATGACACCACACCTGTAGCCCAAGTGGCAGTGAGACCCTGTCTGGAAAAAAAAAAAAAGGAGAGACTTCAGTTTTATGTTAAAATGAAGGAGCCAGTAGGGAGAGAGATTGAAGATAAGGTTACTAAGGAGATAATAGGGGTTGGCATGGAACACTCAGGTTTATAGCAGTTAACTGAGTAAAAGGAAAGGTGATGTTTATGGATAAGGCAGCTGAAAGCTATGGAAGTTTATGCTTATCAGCTTGTATTTTTTCTGTGCAGATAGATGACAGTGTTATTTAATGACCTTCAGGATGATAAAGGTTAGGCAGAACTTGTTACTCTGTGAGGAACCTTACTCGAAATTGACATGGAACATATAAAGTGTTTCCAGTAACATTGAGGGCCCAGTTGAAGCTGGCAACCATAAAAAGTAGTAGTACCAGTAAGTGTGGTTGTGTGAATTTCTCTACAGGGCTCAGCTGCCTAGGCACAGGAGCAGAGAATATAAATCTGGTAACTTTTTTCTTTGGTGCTTGGTTCATGGGCTGGATACAGTGGTTCAACTGAGTGGAAATATTTGGAATAGAAATCTTGTTTTCTTTGCCTCAATCCAGCATGAACTGTCAGATGGAGATCTGGATCTGGATCTTGTTGGTGAAGATGAAGTAAATCACCTCGATGGCAGCAGTTCCTCTGCTAGTTCCACAGCAACAAGTAACACAGAGGAAAATGACATTGATGAAGAAACTATGTGAGTATCCCACATTAACTACCACTATAAATACCACTATCTAAGTGGTAATTATTAGAAGCATATTTACTAACTCAGGCTTAAAAGTGGGGATATTCAGCCATATTCTGAAAGAATCAATAGCCAGTTTTCTCCCTCTCATCTCTGAGTTTTAAGCCCAGAATTTTTGTTTTAATTTAACTTTTTATTTTTATTTTTTAGAGACAATCCCTCATTCTGTCTGCCAGGCTGAAGTGATCCTCCTGCCTCAGCCTCCTGAGGAGTTAGACTACAGGTGTGCACCACCACTTCTGGCTGATTTTTTTATTTTTTGTTGAGACGGGGTCTTGCCATGTTGCTTAGGCTCATCTTGAACTCTTGGCCTCAAGTGATCTTCCTGTCTCAGCCTCCCAAAGTGCTGACATTATAGGCATGAGCTATCGGGCCTGGCCTATTTTAACTCTTAACTTTTAGTTTTGAAATTACTTTATACTTAAGAAAAGTTACAGAAATATTACTCAGAATTTTCATATGACCTTCACATAGATTCCTTCCCCAAATGTTAATAATTTGTTTCTCTTTTCTCTGTGTATAATTTTTTTCTGAGACACTTGAGATTAAGTGAATACACTTCTCATAGGGTACTTTCTATAAATAAGGATTTATTTTCTTTTACCTAACTATAGTATATCAAAGATATAGTTATCAAAATCAGGAAATTAACTTTGATGTAATAGTATATTAAAAATTTTGCCAGTAGGCCAGGTGCGTTGGCTCAAGCCTGTAATCCTAGCACTCTGGGAGGCCGAGTCTGGTGGATCACTCAAGGTCAGGAGTTCGAAACCAGCCTGAGCAAGAGCGAGACCCTGTCTCTACTATAAATAGAAAGAAATTAATTGGCCAACTAAAAAAAATATATATATAAATTATCCAGGCATAGTGGCACATGCCTGTAGTCCCAGCTACTTGGGAGGCTGAGGCAGAAGGATCGCTTAAGCCCAGGAGTTTGAGGTTGCTATGAGTTAGGCTGATGCCACGGCACTCTAGCCTGGGCAGTAGAGTGAGACTCTGTCTCAAAAAAAAAAAAAAAATTTTTTTTTTTTTGCCAGTAATGTTCTCTGTCTGGTTTAGGATCTATTCCAGGATCACATGTTGTGTTAGATCTTAAATCTTTTCAGTCTGCTTCAATCTGAATTTTTTCAAAACTTTGTTTTTCATGATTAACACTTTTGAAAAATACAGAATTGTTATTTTATAGAAAGCCCCTCAATTTGGATTAATCTGAAGTTTCCTCATGATTAGACTTTATGCACTTTTGGCAGGAATACTACAGAAGTGATGATGTGTCCTATTTAGTGCATCATAGTAGAGTAGGGAGAGCACGTGATATCAGTGTATCCCATTATTGGTGATTAATTTTGATCACTTGGTTGACGTAGTATCTGCCAGGTTTCTCTAAAATTACTACTTTCCGTTTGTAATTAATAAGTATTTTGTGGTGACATACTGTGAGATTGTAAATATCCTATTTCTCATCCTACATTTGCTTACTAATTTTAACATGTTAATGATTCTTACTTGAAAACGATTACTGTGTTGATTGGCAAATGATGATTTTCTAATTCCATTATTCCTTCTACATTCATTAGTTGGAATTTAAGGAATCTTGTACTTTCTTTGTCCCAGTTCTGGCATCAGTTGTTTCACAAAAGAGTAAGGTGAGAATTTTAACACTGTATCTAACTCCCCTTCATTCTCACAAATAAGTTCCTCAGAATAGAATATTTTTACTTAATGTTCCTCCTTTAGCATATGTAACAAATTGTCTAAAATTGGTTAGGTAGTTAAAATGTGAAGCCAAGGTACCTAAATCCCTGAATCAGAAGTCATTGTTATAGTGAGATTTTTAGAGATATAAAATAGAGCTGGTTAATTTGATTCAACGTGGAAAATTTACAGTTGATTCCTTTAGGTAGTGATTATGTAAAGTGAAATCCAACTTGCTGATGGCTTAAACATGAAATTCTGTCTGAATTAATTTCTTTGTTACGTCTTTTTTTTTTTTTTTTTTGAGACAGAGTCTCACTTTGTTGCCAGGCTAGAGTGAGTGCCGTGGCGTCAGCCTAGCTCACAGCAACCTCAAACTCCTGGGCTCAAGTGATCCTCCTGCCTCAGCCTCCCGAGTAGCTGGGACTACAGGCATGCGCCACCATGCCCGGCTAATTTTTTATATATATATCAGTTGGCCAATTAATTTCTTTCTATTTATAGTAGAGACGGGGTCTGCTCAGGCTGGTTTTGAACTCCTGACCTTGAGCAATCCGCCCGCCTCGGCCTCCCAAGAGCTAGGATTACAGGCGTGAGCCACCGCGCCCGGCCTTTGTCACGTCTTTTGACTTTATTTCAAAATTGTTCTAAAGGCAAGTTGGGTTTTAGGTAAAACTTCCATTATAACCTTTCATTAGATTGACTTTTTAGTTCTTTTTCTAATAGAAAGTTTAACTATGTTCTGTCTACACCCATACATCTACAATAATATTTTGGTTCGAACTATTTTATATAATTCATGGTAATAACAGCACAATTAATCTTGAGCTGTTTGGGGTACATGGGAAATCATTAAATCTTAGAGATTAAAGTTAATTCCTTTTATATATGAGGAAATAGGCATACAGTTTGGATAATGATTATTATAAATAGCTTTTTAAACTAGAACACAGTCACTTAATAGATTTTTCTTTCCTTGTCTCTCCTTATTCTCCACTTTCTCCCTTATTGGTCTTTTTATGAGAGTGCTGTATGTTTTCTTCCTGCTGTTTTTTTTTTATTTTTATTTTGAGATACTTGTAGATTCACATGCATTTGTAAGAAATAATGCAGATCCCAACACTGTTTACCCAGTTTTTCCCGGCAGTAACGTCTTATTAAGCAGTAGTACAGCATCACAATCAGAATATTGATACAGTCAAGATACAGAATATTTCTATCACCATAAGAATCCCTCATGTTGCCATTTATAGACACACCTACTTTTCTCCCACCTGCACCCTCTTCTTAATCCCTGGCAACCACTCATCTGTTTCCCATTTCTATAATTTTGTCATTTAAAGCATTAAAGCGGCTGGTCCGATGGTAGTGGGTTATCAGAACTTATTAACATTAGTGTCACTAAAGTTGGTATTCAACCCCCCCCCACTGTTAAATTTGACTGGCAAGAAAAGAAAAGAGAAGAAAAGAAAAAAATAAGAATTAAAGTTACATAAATTGAATCATACAATAAGTAAACTAAAGGGACTGGCTTTTTTTCACTCAGCATAGTTCTCTGGAGATTCATCCAGGTAATAACTAATGATCTGGGAATTGATAGTTTTTATTGCTGAATAGTATTTTATTTTCTGGATGTACTATAGTTTGTTCAACCATTCACCTATTAAAGGATATCTGGATTGTTTCCAGTTTTGGCTATTAGGAATAAAGCTACTATAAATATACATGCACAGGTTTTGTGTCAACATAAGTCTTCATTTCTCTGTGATAAATGTAAATGCTGGATTATATAGTAAGTACATGTTTCGGTTTTGAAGAAATTACCAATTTTCCAGAATGGCTATGTTTTACATTCCTACCGGCAGTATATGAGTGATCCAGTTTCTCTGAATCCTGACCAGCATTTAGTGGTGTTAATAGTTTTTATTTTAGTTATACTGATAGGTTTGTAGTGATATTTCATGTGGTTTTTAATTTGCATTCCTCTAACTCTTGGGCTCAAGCTATCCTCCTGCCTCAAGCAATCTTTAGTCTCTCCAGTAGCTGAGAGTACAGGCTGGTGGACACCTGTACTATTTTCTATTTTTGATAGAGGATGGGGGTCTCGCTCTTGTTCAGGCTGGTCTTAAACTCCTGACCTCAAGCGATCCTCCCGCCTCTTCAGCCTCCCAGAGTGCTAGGGTTATAGGCTTGGGCCAATATGCCCGGCCCCAGAATGTAGTATCATCTGTTTAATTTACCATCTGCATATCTTTGTTGGTGAAATTTCTCTTCATATTTTTCTAATTGGATTGTTTTTTTTTATTCAGGTTATTTTATGTTAAAAATTCATAACATGAAATTTATCATTTTAACCATTTTTAAATTCAGTGGCATTAAGGACATTCACATTTTTGTGCAACCATCACCATCATCTATCTCTAGAATTTTTTTTAATCTTCAGACTGAAACTCCATAACCATTAAACAGTAACTTCCCCTCAGCCTCTGGCAACTACTGTTATGTTTTGAGAATTCTTTATACATTCTAGCTGTTAGTCCTTTGTCAGATATATGCGTTGCAAATAATTTCTCCCACTCGGTACCTTTTCATCTCCTTAACAGGGTCTTTTACCAAGTGAAAGTTTTAAATCTTTCAGCGATGTTTTGTAGTTTTCAGAATATATATTTGGTACTTCTTCTGTTAAATGTAGTCCCAAATAATTTGTCCTTTTATGCTATTGTAAATGGATTTGATTTTTTAATCCCCCCCCCCAAAAGATAGGGTCTCACTCTGTCACCCAGGCTGGAGTGTAGTGGCATGATCTTTGCTCACTGCAGCCTTTAACTCCTGAGCTCAAACAATTCTCCTGAGCAGCTGGGATTACGGGTGCACCCTACCATGACCAACTAATTAAAAAAATTTTATTTTACTTTATTTTTTTAAGTTTTTTTTTTTTTTTTTCAAGGCAGAGTCTCGCACTGTCATCCTGGGTAGAGTGTAGTGGTACCATCATAGCTCACAGCAACCTCATACTCCTGGGCTCAAGCAATCCTCCTGCTTCAGTCTCTCAGGAAGCTGGGACTACAGGTACAGGTGGGCAGCACATGGCCTGGCCAATTTTTTCTTTTTCTTTTTTTTTAGTAGAGATGGGGTCTCACTCTTGCTCAGGCTGGTCTTGAACTCTCACCTCAAGCAGTCCTCTCACCTTAGCCTCCCAGAGTGCTAGGATTACAGGCATGAGCCACCATGCCCTGCCAAAAAATTTTTTTAGA